AGATAATAGATGCTTTGTCTCCAATACTTTGTCTTTAAAGGTCCTGTAAAATGCTTTGAAATGTGCAGTTTTATTCAATGTTTGACGTAATCTCAACTGAAACACTAAGAGAGGGTCGGACATAGTGTAACTTCTCCCCTTTTTTTAAAAAACAGCCAATAGATCGAAGGCGGGGGTCCATTGATCCATTTGGGCGGAAGTGTGAAACTACAAGCTTTACATGTTTATATAAATTTTAGATCTTCTAAATAGGGCTGGGCGATAATGCAAAAAAAAAAAAAAATGATCACAATATCATGTTTCATATCATTCGATATCGATAATTACTGATCATTTAAAAAAAAAAACATTTAGGAATATTAGGATTTTTGTTTATTTTAATTTACCAACATTACTAAGGTAAATTGTTTTAATAGCCAAAACCAAAAATATTTTTACATCTCATCTCTTTATAATGAAATAAACATGAGTGACGACATCCTTAAATCTTTTTTATTATATACGGCACACATTTTTACATGTGTTGTTATTCTGATCTGAGGTTAGAAGAGCGAGCGTCTGATTTCCTTCACCATTTTCTATATGCATCTCTCGTAACTAATCAACTGTTTTGATGCAAGTTTCGGGAGAAAAGTAAAAAGCACTGATGTGTTTGGGTGCGCTGTGTTTGTCTGAGGTAATTAGTCTGCCGTTATTACTGAAATGTGTATATTCCACACAAAGTGTAAAGCCGATTGTTTATTCCTTCTAGCCACATAAATCGTGGTGTGCTTGCAGCATTTGGACAAGTTTAAATGTTTTTTTAACTAGGTGTTCCTGGAAAATGCACGCGCACCATATGCACGCTGCTTGCGAACCATGTGTGCGTTGTGCTAGTAGAACCTCAATTAAAAATGACAAACTTACACCCTAAGCTTACAGGCATTACTTCCAAGGTGCACGATCAGCAGCCACGTTTTAACAAAATTATAATGCTTCAAACCGAAATTTCATACCAAACTTTTTGCGTTATTGAGAATGGTGCTCAGTCAATTAATATCGATACCGATTTTAACGTCCAGCCCTACCTCTAAACACAAATTTTACCACTGTTTTGGAGCACACTAGCTTATAGACATCTTAAAAAGTCCCAAAACTCATACTACAGGGCTTGAAATTGCGACCATTTTGGTCGCATATGCACCCAAAATTTTATCTATGCAACCTCAAAATATATTTGGGAGCATTTCTGCGAGTGCTTAAAATTGTTGTGTGCGACCAGTTTTTACTGCAAAATGTTCACCACATGCGTGGATTCAGGAGACATTCACGCAGAATACATCTCTAAGCTCTTTGTCTGCACTTCAAATGTGAAACGCAGCGCTCAGGAATGGTTTAAAACAGTTGTCATGTCAACTTGCTGCAGTAAACAAAGCCAAGTCCGTAATGCTTGCCCCGCCTTCGCGCTCTTCCTATTGGCCCACCGCTGCTCTAGAACTGAACGCGAATGATTGGTTAATATCGTTGAAGATGAGAATGAAGATAACACTGACAGATTTTGTTTTAGAAACCATGGCATCTAAAGTTATAAATAATGACACATCTTAGTAGTGATCAAGTGCTGAATGTTAATCCACCATCTACACTTTTAGAAGAGTGGATAAAAGACTTCCATTGGCTTCAAGTCCGCTATGAAAAGTCTGTGGGATGGAATTTTCAGGTAACTGTTTGCCACATCTAGCACGAGAGCTTCAGATTAATCCTTTATATAATCGCCAGATGCTGTCCGTCGTGCAAGGAGCAGCTATATGTCAAATTTTACACCACGTACACCATCGCAAACGGGGCTTGCACTGAGTAAACTAACATCGCTACTCCTAAAAAAACCGGTATTGCTATTAACATGACGTATGCATATAATAAGGTACAGTACATGTCAAAAGCATCAGTGCAATATCAGACAGCACTTGTGAGAACAGCACAGTTATATCGTTAACAGATTCATTCATGTCAAGCAGTGCGTGCAGGGCCAGTGAGCGCTCCGTGTATGCTTTGGTCACTCAGTTATGTTATAAAATGTATTTTCTTGTGATTTTCTTGTGATTTTGTTGAGACATTTTTTCTCACGCTTGCATATATATATATTATATATTTTTGCTTGTTAGTTTGATTAGTGTTGATTTTAAATGAAATAAATATGTTTGAATAAAACTTGTTGTAACGGTGCTCATAATTGGTGTGTGGGACTAAATTTGGGCTGATGCGCCTACATTTTTAAAGTTAGGAGCGCCGGTGCTACCAAGCATAAAGGTTAATTTCGAGCCCTGTACTAACATCTAAAAAACTTTATTTCAATTTAATGGGACCAATGGAGTGGGTGGAGGAAAGAATAAATTGTCTTTGGAAATTTTAAGAGTAAACTTGACAACACTTTGAATTACACACACTCATATCTACAACATGAATCTTGAAGCTGTTAAGTGTATTAAGAAACTGTATTGCCAATTTGGGTTTTGAAGTCATCCCTCCACCACTTTACCACAACAGACTGGGCCACCTGACCAATCAGAGTGAAGCAGTGTAATGGACAGCAAGAGTTTTGAAAGACTGAATCTTTGACCAAATCAAGGGTGACTCTGAGAAATGAGGTGTTGCGAAAATGAAACATGAGAAAGCAAAAGTATTTTTAGACCTTGGATCCATGTAAACCTATAGCACAAGACTCCAAAACAAAATTAGGAACCCTCGAAATAGCATATTTGGGACCCCTTAAAATAAATATCATGCTAAACCCACAACTTCCATGAACATGGGGTTACATTACCAGTGAGAGCGTGAATCTTCTCTTTCAGCTTGGCACCGGTGCCATCTAAAGGGATTTTAAGATCATATTTGTTTTTGTTCCAAATGATTTTCACGTCCACCATCTCTTTCCCCTCGTCACTTTCCTCTCCGTTGCTGACCGCAGCAGGCTCAGCTGATGTGCTTTCACCATCGGTAAGAGATGTTGCTTCGCTGCCTGCTTCGTCTCCTTGTCCCGCAGCTTCGCACAACACTTCTGGTACCTTCTGTGTGACCTCAGCCTCCATACCTACTACCTCACTTCCTGCGGGAACAATAACAGAGGAGAAGGCATCAATCAAAAGCAGTTTTTTTTTGTATTATGTTGACCCTTTATAGGGTAAAGTATTGGTAATATCTAAACATAAAAGAAATGCAAAAGTAAATCAACAAAACAAGCAAATCTTTATAGAATAAACATGTACAACACCTTCATTTTATAACTCCTATGAAAGAAAACTAGACAACACTCCTGATCTTTTCTGAATTTATGTTTTTAATACTTCACAAAAGAGATGGTGTATGTTTACAATAATTACTAGTGTCTAGTATACTGTACACGTTTAAAGCTAATTGAACTAGCTGGTGTCCAAGGGCGCAGAATCATCTAGCAAATTCCCCAAACGATATTTGAACTCAACTGTTGAACTACGACCAATAACTGACCCTGATGGACGGGACCGTTTTGTAATCCTACACAACTGACTCATCGTTAACTTAGCCAGCCCGCTGTGCTAATATTCGCAAGATTGTGTCCCAAACCCATTGAGCTGCCTATCTAGACAGCATCTCTGGGCACTGTGAGCTCAAATGGGACGTTCGTTTTACGGTTATTAACACTCCCGATAAGACTATAAATGCTTTTTGAACGTTTTAGAAATAGTCAAACGTTACGTGCGCGCTCACGATGACCCCTCAAAATGCTGTCGAAGTAGAAAGCTCAATAGATTTTGTGACACAGCCGAAGTTTTCGACATGGCTGTTTTAATCACAAATTTTCTAGCTGTTGTTTTGCCCTGACAAGTTAAAGGAACGTCCATTCAGAATAATACAAGACACAAATGACTGGACTTGAGGTTGTACGGTTAGAGATAACACCGCAAACACGGTGGAAATTGCATTTAAGTACATTTTCATGCTACCTACCATCCTGCGCCGCCATGATGATTGTGTACAATATGAGGAAAGGCTTCTGGGAAAGAGCGTGCTGTCAGTGATTGAGCTCCGCGGCTTCCCGTAGTGACTTTGCGATTTTAAAATCTGGTGCATGGTACAAATGAAGTTTCTTTTTTTAAAATAAATTATTGAAAATAATTGAAAAGAATCAAGGAATGGTCAATCAAACACTCTTTCAACCAAGACATGCTGTTGAATGTTCTATAATTTTTTTTATAAATGTCCACAAGCCCTCTTGTTTTTTTAAATAAAAAAAATATTTTTTAATCAATTTAAGTATATATATATATATATATATATATATATATATATATATATATATATATATATATATATATATATATATATATATATATATATAAATAAATAAATTTCTCAGCTATTTTGCAGTTATGTTTACAGCAGAGTGTTCAGAACTAGCCTTACAAATTTTGTATTAGCAAATAATTAAATTATGATAATTAAAAAAAAACTCATTACTTATTTATTCACTTTTTTTAAACTAACTTTGTAAAAGAAAACAATGACTAAACTCTAAAAACTCGACTATTATAACTTTGTTGATGTACAAAAATACAGAAACTAGTTGATCTGAAACGTGTATTCCTTATACACATTGCATAGTTTTGTTCATTGTTTAAACTCTGCATTAGCTAAATATAAATAAATAATTCTTAAATATTTTTAAATATGTTGTTTACTACCTATTGGCTTGTAATAAATAAATGAATAAATAAATAAAACACACACACACACACACACACACACACACACACACACACACACACACACACACACACATATATATATATATATATATATATATATATATATATATATATATATATATATATATATATATATATATATATATATATATATATATATATATATGTATATATATATTTCAATAATAATAAACAATGTTTCCGGAGGTGACGTACACTGTGAACTGTGAACGTTTGATGACATCCAAATAACTGGGATTGGCATGCGCAATGTGCCTAGTACATACAGATCCACTGTTGATCTAAGCGTAAACTTATCCTACCCTGCCCTACCTTGAGGGCACTTAGTGAACTTTCAGCCCTTACACAAGCAACAACATATGAAAGAAAAAGTAAACATTGCAAATCTTTCATACGTGTTTATACGTCCAGGAGGAAAACAGTCAATCTACACTGACTGCGCGCGTGACCGATGCAGCATTGACTACGTGTGAGTTTGGCTTTGTGAATCGGGTAAGTTTTTCTTACAGTGATGCAGTGTTTATTGACTCACTGTTACTGTTACTAGCAACACAGCTAACCTAGAACAACTAATGAGGTAATGTGGTTTCAAGAATACATGCAAGTGGAATGTGAACTGTCTAACTAACGTATAACGGACAAAGACAAAAGGAGATTTTCAAGCATCAAGAACTGAGTTACTGTACTTACAAACTATTGATACAGCGAATGACATTTCAGCATATGTCTTTTTAAAATAATCGTATTAATAATAATAATAAAACTTGTCAGACAAATGTAGAACAAGTATCATTTGAAGAAGTATCAAAACTCAAAGCACGTTTGACCATTTGCCACAACTAATTTAATGGTGAGGGTATTTGATTTGAAATGTATTTTTAATAAGTATCAGTCAGAATAAGTATGTTGTTTAGAATTTACATAAATATGTAATGCGATGATAATGACAAAAGATCATTTCTTCATTTTCTTTTCGGCTTAGTTGCTTTATTTATCTGGTGCCACAAGGGAATGAACCACTACCTTATTCAGCATATGTTTTATGCAACCCATCACTAGGAAACACCCATACACTCTCATTCACACACATAGACTACGGACAATTTAGCTTACCCAATTCAGCTAAGTTATAGTGCATGTCTATGTGCTGTGGGGGAAACCGGAGCACCCGTGGGAAACCCATGAGAACACGGGGAGAACATGCAAACTCCACACAGAAATGCCAACTGACCCAGCCGAGGCTCAAACCAGCGACTTTCTTGCTGTGAGGCGACAGCGCTACCCACTGTGCCACCGCGCCACCCTGACAAAGGATTAGTTTACCTATATTTTTAATTTTTACTTTTTTTAAAAGTTATTGCGGTAGATATAAAGTAAAAATGATCCAAATGACCACATCATTCATTAATTAATTTTCTTGTCAGCTTAATCCCTTTATTAATCAGGGGTCGCCACAGCGGAATGAACCGCCAACTTATCCAGCACGTTTTTATGCAGCGGATGCCCTTTCAGCTGCAACCCATCTCTAGGAACCACCCACACACACACACACACACACACACACACACACACACACACACACACACACACACACACTATGGACAATTTTAGCCTACCCAATTCACCTGTACCGCATGTCTTTAGACTGTAGGGGAGACCGGAACACCCCGGGGAAACCCACGCGAATGCAGGGAGAACATGCAAACTTCACACAGAAACACCAACTGAGCCGGGGTTAGAACCAGCGACCTTCTTCCTGTGAGGCGACAGCACTACCTACTGCGCCTCTGCGTCACCCTAAATTACCACATTTTTACTTTAAATTTTGGATGAAATCAGGTGGTTAAAAAAATGAAATAAAATGTTGTTTTGCTTTATTTGAAAACAAAATTGTTAGCTCTTTCTTGCAACAGAAAGACATTTTCTTTTCTTTTTCATTCTTATTTAACAAAGCAAGGAAGTTCTATCATACTGTTTTTCTTCTGGAGAACATCTTATTTCTTTTAGTTTTCTGGAGTAAATTGTTTTAATTCATTTGTAAGGTCAATAATATTAGCTCCTTAAGATTTTTTTTTCTATTGGCTACAGAACAAACCACTGTTGTGTTGTCCAATTTCCTGCCTAGTTAACCTAACTTCCCTAGTTAACATTATTAAGCCTTTAAAGGGAACCTATTATGCCTCTATTTACAAGATATAAAGTGATGTCCCAAGAGTTTGTATGTGAAGTTTCAGCTCGTAACACCACACAAATAATATTTTATAACTCTTTGCAACTGCCCCTTTTAGGATTTTATCCAAATTGTTTTTTTTTTTAATTGACTTGACTTTAAAAGACTGTCGCTTTAAACTCAAAAGAGATTGTGCTCTCAGCGCTCTCTTCAAAAGAGGGTGGAGCTATAAACACCTATGTGTCACCATAGCAGCACATTAAAAACTCTAACGGTGGACGGCTGCTTCTCAGTCAGGGCTGTCTATGCTAAAGCTGTGGTCAGACTGCTCTTTTTCTTTTATGCACGTGAATGCGTCAGACTGGAAATGCAAATCCGTGCGTCAAGTTTCGCATTTCACTGCACTGCAAAATTCAAGCTTGGTGAACTCTGACCTGCAAAATCGCATCACTTGACTGCGTGAGACAGATCGAGGATCAAAACATGATCTCTCTGGACAGAAATTTTAAATATGGACCAAACGTTTGCTTTTTTAAATGTCTAATCATCTTGTTTAATCTCACCCCTTTTCGCAGCGCCGTACGACAGAATTTCACAAGCTCAAACTCTAGTGTGACTGCAGCTTAATGAGCGAGAGATGGTGGGGCTTTCCCCCTACGATGACATATAAAAAAAGGGAGAATGTCAATCAAAGTGTTTCTGCAGACTGATTCTATCAAGTGTGATTAAAAAAATAGAATTAATTCATTTTTACCATTAGAAGCTGGGTATATTCACACACTGTCACCAAACAACACCTTATTAAAGTGTTTTTACTTAATTGGTCCCCTTTAAATTGCACTTTAAGCTGAATACCATTATTGTGCAAGAGAACTAGTAAAATATCATATACTTTCATCATAGTAAAGACTGTTTTTTAGAAATTAGCTATTATTAAACTACTTAACTATAATAACTACAATTTATTAAAGTGTTGAACAAAATCTTTTTAATAAACAGCACTTAGGCAATATATTTAATGCTAAATATGTGGGAGGGCTAATAAGTTTGCCTTCATCATGACTGAATACATAAACACTCACATACAGTTGAAGTCAGAATTATTAGCCCCGTCACATTATTTTCTTCTTTTTTAAATATTTCCCAAATGATTTTAAACAGAGCAATGAAATTTTCACAGTATGTCTGATAATATTTTTTATATATTATTTGTTTTATTTAGGCTAGAATAAAGGCAGTTTTTGATTTTTTAAACACCATTTTAGGGACAAAATGGACATTTAGGAACATTTTAGCCCCTTTAAGCTATATATTTTTTTCGATAATCTACAGAACAAACCATCGTTATACAACAACTTGCCTAATTACCCTAACCTGCCTAGTTCACCTAATTAACTTAGTTAAGCCTTTAAATGTCACTTTAAGCTGTATAGAAGTGTCTTGAAAAATATCTAGTAAAATATTATTTACAGTCATCATGGCAAAGATAAAATATATCCATTATTAGAAATGAGTTATTAAAACTATTATGTTTAGAAATGTGCTGAAAAAATCTCTACATTAAACAGAAATTGGGGAAAAAATAAACAAGCGGTCTAATAATTCAGGGGGCTAATAATTCTGTCAGTTCATTTTGACTGTCTGTTCATTTTCATTCTGGGCCACTGCTTCTTGTGTGAAGTAGTTGCCACGGAAACCGTCACATGGACTTTGCATTCCAGCAACTTTCATCTCATGCTTGACAGTCACGAGGCGCGTGCAGCTCTCAGACCACCAAACAACTCATATTTGTCATCCTTCAACTACGGCTGCAGCTATAATGCAATAATACTCTAATATGCACGCAGTAAATCACTAATCACTCCACTTACCGGCTTGCTTTCCCATAGTTTGCTTTCCTAGATGCTGTTAACATTTACATGGACCAAAAGCCACCATCGCTGAAACTCCGGCATCTTACATGAGGATTTACACGCTGAGCTGATGATGGCGGACATTAGGACTTATAATGTTGTTGTTTTGGGAATAGGATTTTTGCTCATCTTTACAGCCTTCACCACCTGTGGGAATATCGAAGTAAGTGGTTTTTAATTCTTTCAGCATGCTACCATGATATAAGGCCTGTATGATTGAATGAAATGCTTTGGTAAAGTTTGAAATCTGTATCTGTTGTACATAAATGTTTGGTTTTAAACCTAGCTGAAGTCTTCCATTTTCAGCAGCTTTAAATGAGTTACATTATCATGAAACAAGTCCCTTAGGCATGATCTTTGTGTTCTTGTATTGATAGTTGTGTTACTGAACTACTTTTTAGCGATAAGCAGATTGATTCTTAGGCAAATAGCCGAAAAGAAAGCAGTATATCTGTACAGAATTAACCCTTTACCCTGTTAACAATCCCTTCCTCCACTAAGGCCTCGAGGTTACAATTTAGCTATAATTAAATGCAAATAAAACCTTCAATATTCAACAGTCAGAAAACAAAATAAATAAAAATAAATGAGGAGAATGAATAAATTTTTTGTAAACCCATTGAATTTACACTATCATGTTCAGTTTTTCACACATTGTAGTCTTTGACCCTTTTACGGAACCATTTATTTTTACATTAGTTTAGTATACCTTGTAAAAGATTTAGTTATTTTTTTTGAAACAGTCTATTGTTGAAGTGAATCCGGGTCAGGCGCCTTCTCGTGTTTTTGATTTTCCTATCAGTCAATACATTTTCCTGCATGACTAATGCGTGGAACTAATTCAAATGTCACGCTGGACTTCTGCTGACCCCACAGTCACTCGAAAAAAGAAAGAAATAAAAAACCCACAAACTCAATTTAACCATAAAGAGATGTTTTATTGTAACAATTACTCCACAAACTTCATCTGTGTGCAACATGAATCATCTTTAAAATATTCTCAGTGATGCAATCATGCATGTATCTTGCAGTCTAACTATTTTATTGGATATATCGTAACTAAAGCAACATTTTTAAGTCGATAGTCTTCATGACTATGTATTAATTAACAAACTATTATAAATGTTTATATTGATGTTATAATTATAAATTTTTTATGTTATTATTGTACTAAAAAATGTCATGTTTCAGGGCTTATTGAAAAAAGTATTTTGTATTTCTGGGCAATGCAGTGGCGCAGTAGGTAGTGCTGTCGCCTCACAGCAAGAAGGTCACTGGGTCGCTGGTTCGAACCTCGGCTCAGTCTGCGTTTTTGTGTGGAGTTTGCATGTTCTCTCTGCGTTCACGTAGATTTCCTCCGGGTGCTCCGGTTTCCCCCACAGTCCAAAGACATTAAGCACAGGTGAATTGGGTAAGCTAAATTGTCCATAGTGTATGGATGGGGATGAGTGTGTGTGAATGTTTCCGCTGTGGCGACCCCGCATTGTAAAAGGGACTAAGCTGACAAGAAAATGAATGAACGAGTTATATATTTCTGTTAGGCATGTCATGATAATTAGTTTTAAGGCTTACCGCCGATTGGAACAGACAATGTTTTGAAACCGCAAACATTTTCTGTTATACCGTCCCTTCGGTATATATAAATTGTTGTTGTTTTTTGCTGCTATTTCATTTAGTTTTTTTGGCCAACAGTATCTACAGCAAAATGACCCTTCAAATCGAAAGCTACTGGTCAGCAGTAGTTGTAAAGTAACTAGTTACAAATACTCAAATGACTGTAACTGAGCAGTTTTTCTCAGGAATTGTAATTTACTAGGTAGTTTTAAGAATGTGTACTTTTACTTTCTCTTGAGTACATTTTTAGCACAGTGTCGATACTTTTACTCCACTACTTTCCTTCAGCCTGCAGTCACTACTTAATTTTTTCCTGTCTAGGGGGATTTGAAAAATCTTTCCTGTGATTCCTGTCCAATCAAATCGCAAATAGAAGTTAAATCGCATCATAATGAACTACCTCAAGACATGGGCGATTTATAAATCGCAGCAAACTGTTGGAAGCATTAAACGTGTGCAAGAAGATGTCCAAAATCTTTATACGCATTGACCCAGACACTGTTAAGTCACTGATGAGAAGATGACGGATGTTTACTGTATGATGACCGAAATGGCCTTAAACACCCGGCAGGCACAAGACGTCAACATGACATCAGATTGATGTTGTACCCCAACATCATGGGGACATTGCATTTTGTTTGGAATTGAAAATTGGGTTGGCATCAGAACCCAATGTCCAACGGCCAACCTAAAATCAATCAAATGTCAACGTCTAATGATGTTACAGCTTGACATTGTGTGGACGTTACCACTATGACGTCTATCAGATGTTGGATTTTGGTCCGTTTCTAACACAACCTAAAATCAACCAAATGTCAATGTCATTTGGCGTCGTTATTAGACATCAAAATAATGTTGTCCTTAGATGCTGGCTAGACATTGAGCTTTGGTCACCTGACATCACAATCTAAATCTTACATAATATTAACGTCGTATGATGTTGTGTGCCTGCTGGACAATAACTAAACGCATTAGACTTGAGAATGTTACGTTTACACACATTCACAAATTACATGTAAATGCATCAGCTTTTTACAGCATAATATTTACTACTCATTACTCGAGTAGTTTTAAAAGGTCTTGAGTAATATTCTCAACAGATACTTTTACTCTACTCGCACTACATTTTTAGGCAAGTAATGGTGCTTTTACCTAAGTATGATTTTTCAGTACTCTTTCCACCACTGCTGGTCAGCCCACGATTCAGGAATTGTTTGAAAATGCAAACATGCTATAGTCCTGAACAATACAGTGGCTGACTTTAGATCCAAAGAAAAGAAAGATATCCAAAGATCACTTGTCAAGTTTTAATGAAATCTGTGTTTTCGAAATTAATTAAGATAGCCAGTGCTTTATTTAATTTGTTTAGCCTGACTTGTTTAAAACAAAAAAAGCCAAACTTATTTTAAAAGTTTTTTTAAAATAAAATATATTGTGTTAAATGGAGAAAAAGCTGATTTTTACCCAGAACTTATTTAAGAGCAGTAATCACAATACCACATAAATCAGCGGTTTCCAACAGGAGGGTCCCGGCCCACAAGGGGGCCTCAGCAAGCTCTATGGGGGGTCGCGTCATATAAAAAAAATAAAATAAATAAATAATCAGTGGACAGTTAGGAGAATGATCATGTTGTCTTAGTTTATTTTCTCTCCTGGCTGACCAAAAAAGGGTCAAACTTGTAATTCGTACTCCACAAAAAAAGACAGTCTTACTGATTTGCCTATGCAGCTAATGCTAATGACCCAAGCATACTGGATCCAGGTGAAGAAGCTCCAAACATTTTGGGTGATAGTTTTAGCAATACTGGAAATACCAACATAGTTACCTGGACTATTATTTTATTTTCCCTAAACAAAGAGTCCCTGACTCAGCCACTGTGCAAACGTTTATGCTGATGAATGCATGAGACCGTACAAACTAATAAGACATTTGCAAACGACTCATCCTTAATACCACAAGGTGTACCCAATACAAATGGGCTACTGATGTTTTGCTTTTCTATTTTACATTAAGCTATTATTTGTGCATAAACATATATAGAAATAGTAATAAACAAACCATCTTTTTTTTTGACGTAACTAATGCAAACTTATATGAGCGATAATATTATTTAATGTGGAGGGGGGCCTTACAATATTTTACGGGGGAAAAGGGGGTCTCAGGCAAAAAAGGTTGGGAACCACTGGTATATATCATACCATCAGAATCTTATATCGACCCATGCCTAATTTCTATGTATTTCCTTTTAGCAAACAGTGGTGAAAAGCTTGAACAGCACTAACTTCACTGGGAGTGGGTATCACAGGTAAGATTCGCTACATTGTGTGTGCAATATTTAAAGATTTATGAGTGGTATGCAAACATAATAGACTGTGCTGTTAAATGCTTTAATGATTAATGAAAATTAATTTCAGTCTTACACTCAATTGTTTTGCTGCTTGTATAAACTACGTATTTAAATTGAGCTGAATCAACACAGTTCCTAATTTTATTTTTGAGACAGCTTAATTGTTTTATGTTCAATCTACTCAATTTTTTTTAAAACAATTAAGTTAACTTGATCAATTTATGTTGGGAAATCATGAATGACTTGTGTTCTGAATATGTCACCTTTTCTTTGATTTATCAACCTTTATAGCTTGAACTAATTTCTTTCCATAAGTGATTTTAAAGTGGTTGAAAAAGTCATTCTTTTGTCGACTTAAAGGGGTTTCTTCCAATCATGAGAACATATTTCAAAAATGACTGATTTGGCAGCAGTATTTGTGACATTTCTTGTGTTGTTTTGTTGTGAAAATACACACAAATGTATACATCTTACTTCTTCGATCCTTTTTTGACCTCAAGGACCGTCAGTCATGTTATTTATTATATAAGGAAGGGAGGAAACACAGAATGAAACAAAGATAGAAATTGTTTACCTCTTAATTATATAAAGCCTACTAAATCATATTTAATACATCATCCTAAATGATGGAAATTTTCAAAACGTCAATTTTAGCAATTCATACAGCGAATGTACTCTGTTAAAAATATATTTTAATTAATAGTTAATTTATTTATGGTTGAGAATTGCATTATGGGGCCTTGATTTCTGCTTTGTTGACTTTTGATTTAAAAAAAAATGTACCTCTACAGTTTACAGGGTTCAGACAGTCATTGAAAACCTATAGAAGTCATGAAATTTTGACATTGCATTTTCTAGGCCTAGAAAAGTTTTTGAAAAATAGAAAAACTCACAAGGTTTTGGAAAAGTCATGAAAATTGCATTTATATTTAGTCATTTAGCAGACATTTTTGTCCAAAGCTGCTTAAGCCCCGGTCACACTAGAGCTTGTGCTTGTGAAATTCTGTTGTAATGTATGGCGCTGCAAAAAGGGGCGGGGTTAAACAATATGATTAAACATTAATAAAAGTGAGTGATTGCTCTATATTTTACAGTTCTTATTTTATATTATCTTTTATTGGTCTCATGCAATCACCTGATGTGATTTTGCAGGTAAGAATTCACCAAGCTTGATCTTTCGAATGCAGCGAAACATGTGCTTGCAAATCTAGTCTGCAGCATTCGCATGCCTATGAATAGAAGTCTATGAAGTGAAAAATGCAGTGTGATCGCAGCTTTATAATAGAAGTAGTTTTACCTACTTTAACAAACTACGCGATTATGTGAAATTAGTTTAGCTAAAATCTGTGTATTGGAATGGAGGTTAGTTGTTTTTCCTTTTTTTTTCTTGCAAAACATGCTCTCACATTATAAGTGCTATGTAAGCATCATCTGTTTTAAATAGATGTAAAAATAAATTAAAAAGTATTGCATGCTTTATGATATGCTGTATTAAATTTAAACATTTCTTATGATTTACAATGTATATGTAGACTTTACAAAAAACATTAGGTCATATAAATTGACTTCAAAGTCCTGGAAAAGTCATGGAATTTTTGTAGTAAAAATGTGAATGAACCCTGAGTTTAACAAAGTGACATTTATTAGTAGCCAATCCCAGTTATTTGGATGTCATCAAACGTAGAAACAAGTGTGTAAAATGGCAGAAAATGTACTGGCAGTTTATTACAAGGTTTTTGTACCATAATATACAACACCAACCCAGACAGTATATCACTTTAAACTATTAAAAATGCTAATTAAAGTCACTTTTTCAAAATTTTCAATGTCAAAAGTTGTTGGAAGAAAGATCAAGGCCCCTTAATGCAATTCAAAAGCATAAATAAATCACAAAATATGGAAAAATGCTAATTTATGGTTATTTTTACATAATAACCAAAGCGAAGATGACAACATTGCCAGAACAAACTGTGAGATATGTAAACTTGATTATTGCAAGAGGTGGAAAGGAAAAGAATGGGTATATTAAACATAACAAACAAACAGTTGATGAATGTTAAAATAAGGTCATTTAAATAAATTAAATAAAAATACGGAAAGGGCGACGCAGTGACGCAGTAGGTAGTGCTGTCACCTCACAGCAAGAAGGTCGTGGTCGCTGGGTCGCTGGTTCGAACCTCGGCTCAGTTGGCGTTTCTGTGTGGAGTTTGCATGTTCTCCCTGCGATCGCGTGGGTTTCCTCCGGGTGCTCCGATTTCCCCCACAGTCCAAAGACATGCGGTACAGGTGAATTGGGTAGGCTAAATTGTCCGTAGTGTATGAGTGTGTGTGTGTGTGTGTGAATGTTTCCCAGAGATGGATTGCGGCTGGAAGGGCATCTGCTGCGTGAAAACATGCTGGATAAGTTGGCGGTTCATTCTGCTGTGGCGACCCCGGATTAATAAAGGGACTAAGCCGAGAAGAAAATGAATGAATGAAAAATAAGGAAAATCCTGGATGTGTTTCTCCGCTCTTCTTAATTCTTTTTTTTATGTTTTATAGAAGTATCAGATCTGGTTTCGGTATGGGAAGATACTCAAAATCAAATGATTCAGTCTCAAGGGCAAAATAACCTGATAAGCACACCCCTAGCAGTATACAGTATAGCACAGTGCATTATTTATATGACTAAATAAAATGATATATTTTGAACTGGCATCATATTCTGTTCATTAAGGGCTTCTGAGTTTATTAAAGACTTTAATAAACTTAGTCAAGATATCATGAAAATGTGATATCTAATCATTTTGCTTTTCTCTTTTTACAGCCTTGGAATAATATATGGAGTCTTTTCCTTCTGTAATATACTAGCCCCCACTATCGTTGCTGTAATTGGAGCAAGGTTTACGATGTTCTTGAGTGGCATTCTTTATAGGCAAGTATCACTGATGTCTTTGTGACTGTTTTCCATGTAGTCTTTGTGTCGCTGTTGTCTGTATCCATCACTTCTGCATGTTTTTTTTTTCAGTGGTTATATAGCTGTATTCATCATTCCATCCACATGGTCCTTTTATTTCACATCAGTGGTCATTGGCTTTGGGGCAGCCAGTAAGTACATGTTTAAAACACAAAGCCACATTCATCATGTATTTCATTTAATCAAACATTTCATGTTCAATATCTCTGTAGTTGAAATATATATGCAGCTATTGGAATAATTTTAGAAGATCACTTGAAAAGTTTACTGAGTTAATCAAGTGTGGGTTTGAGTAAAATTTTGATATTTATTTAATTTTATATAGGTTTGAGAACATTTATTACAAATTTCATAAATAAAATTATTGTGATTTAGAGCTTTTTTTTTGTTCAGAATAACAAATGTTTTCATTTGCTGTTACTGAAAATTATTACACGAAATATCAATTTTTTTACTTCTTTGAAGTTTTGGACGAAATTTTATCAGTAGTTTAAAGAATAAAACAACAAAAAAATGTTACTCAAACACATAACTATAAATCATTAAGTCTCTAAATTTGTCCATGATTTTTGTACAATGAAGGAAGACTTTTTTTGGAAATTGCATTTGCTAAGTCTAATGATCTATGCTAAGCTATGCTAAGCTAAGCTAAAATGCTCCCTCTAGACCTAGAGATAGACTGATCTATCAAAAATGGTAAAACTCCATTGTTTAACTAAGTGTATTTCCCCCCAAAAAGTGGAGTGTTCCTTTAAGATGTACTATATAAGCAATTATCAACATTTGAAATGGAATTCAGAGAACTAATTTTAAGTAAATCCTGACCTTTTTCTGTCCACAGTGCTTTGGACGGCTCAAGGACACTTTCTAGTGGAGAACTCAGATGCTTCCACCATCAACAGGAACACAGGAGTGTTTTGGGCGTTACTGCAGTGCAGGTACAGGAAGTGACATCAATATTGTTCTGAGTTCTGATGTTGACATGAAATTACAATCTGAGATTCGCGTTAACAATTTACACTTAAAGAAAAACTAAGAATATACATCATTTAACAACCCTGCCAGTTAATCAGTTGAGTTCTAACATTTTTAATCCATTCAGCTGATCTCCGAGTCTGATCTCTAAATTTAGCATAGATCATTAAATCAGATTAGACCATTAGCATCTTAATTAAAAATAACCAAAGAGCTACGATAGCTGCAGCAGCCACAATGATATTACGTAGTGCCTGATAATAATCTCCAGCAAGGTAACTTCCATGATTACGTTGGTTATAGAAGTTAGCTGAGTTTAAGGTGCTGTGTAATATTGTGCCTGCTAAAGCCATGGTACAGCAGCAAAGTTTCTTGATTATTACGCCAGAATGAGAATATTGTTCCAGTTGCCATATCAGCCTAGAAAATAGCAGCTTTTCATTTGCTGTTGGTCTAAGCACATGATGTAAATACAGAAGTATTATTATTGAATCTCTTTTATGAATAAGATATTAATGTTCTTATCTATTTCAGCAATCTAAGCTAAGCTAAAAGTACTCCCGGAAACTGGCTGAAAGAATTCAAAAACTCTAGGAGAGTTGAAAATGAGCCTTTTTAAAGTGTGGTGTTCCTAGTTGCTAAATTTCCATAGTGTAGGAGTGTGTGTGTGTGTGTGTGTTTAAATGTGTGTATGTATGGGTGTTTCAGTACTGGGTTGCGTCTGAAAAGGCATCCACCGCATAAAACATATGCCCGAGTAGTTGGCGGTTCATTCTCTTGTGGTCACTCCTGATAAATCATGGACTAAGCTGAAGGAGAATGAATGAATAAGAAAGTATTATAATAATGATAAATATTCATAATAATTAATAACACTATTATAAAGGTAGTTATAATTATCATTATTAGCCATTATAGGTTTTGCAGATCTTGATACACTTATAGAATTGTTTTCATTAATTATAAATATTTATAAACAGAGTTATAAGTCATCAGGGCTTACAAAATTTCTAAATCCCTGGTAGCCCTTCTTCAGTTTTTGGTAGCCTGAATAAAAAATGTAAGTAGCCCAAGTAGAAAATACATTATTTATCAAATAAAAAATGTATAAATAATGAATATGTATCAGCAGCACAGCACATAATTATCAAATTTTTGAGTGAATGTTAAAGCACTGAAATTTATTTTTCCTTCCACCAAGATTTCCTGTAAGGCAGCTGGGTGAGATTTTGGTAGCCCAACTGGAAAAAGCAAAGCCCCAGGATTATTTTGCGAGCCCTGTTAATTATGAGCATGAGCTGAATAGAAAGTGTTACCAAATGTTTTTTTGTTTTCTTCTGAGAAAGAACACAGAAATTGCTAGACAGAGTGTCTAATCTAGGGTTAAGATATCATTTATATTTCTCTGAAGAAATTTCAATAAATCTACTAACCAAATCAGCAATACCAAAACGATTTAATCAGATGCTCTGTCAATGATTCCTGTATGAAAAGATCTGTTTGTGTTTTCTTTTCAGTATGTTGTTTGGCAATCTGTACGTTTATTTTGATTGGAAAGGAAAAACTGAAATATCAGGTAACGTGATAATCTGCAAATTGCTAAAAGCAGCTTGATTGTGTGTGTAACTCTTGTATTTTAACATTAATTCATCAATTATCCTGTCTTTGTACTAACTGACTAAATATTTCAAACACAAGCACATTTTCAGTTTGTTTTGCATTTGTATATTTTTTGTGTCTGTGTCACAGATAGAGAAAGAAAGATTATGTTCACCGCTCTGCTGGTGATCTCGGTACTCGGGACACTGAGTTTTCTTGCCTTGAGGAAGGTCCGTCAGCTGGAGGAGGCTCTGTCTGAAGAAGAAGGCCAGTCTCTGTTATCAGCCAGATTCATGTTAGTCATCTCATTCATCCACTAGTATGTTTAATCAACCATAATGATGGAGAAAGAAAAAGATCACACATCAAAAACATTTTTGCCAGGCCAAGAAATTCTGATTAGCAAATTAGTCCTGCTGATATTTTTAATGTACCTACCCATCAAAAGTTTGGAGATAGTTTTTATAATGTTTTGAAGGAAGTCTGTATTGCTCAAGAATGCATTTATTTACTCGCAAATACAATAAAAACTATTGAGAAATGCTATTTTTAAATGTAGAATAACTACTTTTTATATGAATGTGTAATTAATTTTTGTTTATTTCTGTAATGCAAAGCAGAAAATAAATTAATTGTAAAAGATCAAAAGGGTTCCTATGATGAAAAAGTGTTGTTCTGCTTTCTATTTTTGTAGAAACTAAATACATTTTACTTTTCATTACATATTTATATATATATAATAATAAAAAATAATAAAATAATATATGTAAAATAAATCTATATTTTAGATATATATGTATCTATATGTAGAAAATCTATATTTTTAAATATTTATTTGACATTATATTTACATTTTTTACTATATGCTATATATACTGTGCATATATATATATATATATATATATATATATATATATATATATATATATATATATATATATATATATATATATACACACACACACACATACATACATACATACATACACACACACACACACACACACACACACACACACACACACACACACACACACACACACATCTTTTTATGGTGTTATATCATGATTTCCACAAAAAAAAAACAAAAAAAAAAGAAATCATGATATTAATAATGATTTTTAAGCACCAAATTGGCATATTAGAATGACTTCTGAATGATATAGTGACATTGACAATAATACAAATATTAAATATATTATATTATTTTTCCAGACAGGTAGGGTACCTACCACCACAAATCTGGTATTTTGAATTTCTGCCATATGTCATGTGTTAAAGAAAATGCTTTCATATTTTTAAAATAAAGTTTATTGCCGTAAATTAATAAAACAAATAGTTTTCATCTGCAAAAATTCAAACATTATTATAATTAAACATCTGCAATTATGCAAAGTCTGTTTTAATGTCAGCTATAAATTCTTTCCGGGATAATCATGGTAGTTGTTGTTACATTTCTTTGTTTGATTTTCAGCTGATATAATTTCTTGTCTAATGTTATTTTAGATATAAACAAAAAGCAGCCTCTGCTGTGACAGAAGCTAAAACAGAGTTAAGTGAGTATATCTGGCTAAATTTCATGTTGATTACATGATCTGCTTTTTTTAAATAAAAGTTTTTTAAACAATTGAACAAATTACTATAAAAAGAGGTTTGTTTTGGTCTAATAGTTGCTTATTTTAATTAACCCTTTTTCTTCTAGAGACGATTGTGGAAATCTTTAAATCCAAAACCATACTGTTGTTAAGTTTCTGCATGGCGTACAGTGGTAAGGGCATTGTTAAAGAAAACAACCTTTAATTCAATGAGCATCTGATAATAGTGAATATATCTTCATTCCTGCTGTCTCGCTGAAGGTTTGGAGCTGTCGTTTTACAGTGGTGTTTATGGGACTTGCATTGGGGCCACAGAATACTTTGGCAATTCAGCAAAAGGCTTAATCGGCATCTCAGGCATTGTGGTTGGAATCGGAGAAATCGTTGGCAAGTGCACTAACAATATGAAGAGGATCTGTTAACAACATTTTCTGTAAGACTGAAATTGGATTTGACAATGTCTTTTTTCTGCAGGAGGTGGATTGTTTGGCCTGGTGTTGAAGAATAATCGTTTCAGACGCACATCGGTAGTCTTCTTAGGGATGGTTGTCCACTTTGTGGCCTTCTATCTGATATTCCTCAACATACCTGATGATGCTCCTGTGGTTCTACAAACAAGCTCACAGCATAATCCATATCTGGCACCAAGGTAGACATTTTCAAGACACTCTTATACTTCAGCTGCTGATGTAATTTTGAACAAAACCTGGCCACAGAAAGTTGGTTAAAAAGAGATTTTAAACAGCATGACTAAGTGTTTTTCTGGATAGGATTGTTCAATGATTGGTCTTTGGGAATGATGTAATAGTTAGGTGTGGCTCTGAGGCTCCACCCTTTCTGACCCGTATATCACTTTTCTGTTCATTTCAACTATAACTGACTTCTGCAAAAATAGAAATACTGAAATGCATTGTAAAAAGATTATAGCACTGTTATATTAACTTAATTGTTTTTACAAATTTAAGATTAAACATGAAACAATTAAGTTAACTTAATTGATTTGTGTTGGGACAACATGAATGAATTGTGTGGAGCCAGAGTTTTTTACAATGCAATTCCGTATTTCTCTTTTTGCAGAAGTCAGTTGCCCCAAAAAATATGAATTGTGTTAAGCTCTTTTGAAATAGATCGTTTGAATAAGTAGCACAAATCAATTGAGTGTAAGGTATCATATTAGAAAATAAATGCATATTTTTAATGGTATTGTTATATTGGTTTATATTGTAATCAGTGATTGGCTGATAAATTGGTATATTTTTGCGCTTCAGATGTGTACGGCTGGCAATGTGTGTTTTATTTGGTGTCATACACATAATGTGGCATTAGAAATATGATAGATGAAAGACAAATGACGGCAATGGGTTTTTTTCACGGTGAACTTCAGAATTAGAATTTCAAAAGGATTTTGGGAAACTTTTTAAGTTTTAAAATAAAATCAGTCAAATTAAATTTGTTTAAAAAAAAAAATAGTATCAAGAGTTGTATCCATTGACCTACAGTAGGTGAGAGTTCAATCTGACCATTACCGCCAGAGCTTACACCAACGCAGTTTTAAATTGCTGCCGCTCCGTTTTTAGTGTATGACTGCAGTTTGTGAATAAGCCGCCAGGGGGCAGACAGGGACGTGATGCAAATGCACAGAAATAGCCTATACAGCAGCTTAAAATATGCTACTGTGCTTGTAAATGAGATTAAACAAGAAGTCAAAGCATTAAAAGTCCTTCATTAATCATTTAAAATTTGTAAACACGCTTTATTATTATTATTGTAAACTTGTTAAGTGCAAAGAGGATTCATTTTGGAAAATAGAATTGAAGAAATAAAAGACAACTAAAATGAATGATTAAGTGTTTGCCTGAGTATATCAGGGCCTTAAGGGAGATCTGAAAAATGCAAACTAAGCAAAAAGCTATACTAGGGTTAGTTCACCCAACAATGAAAATTCTGTCATTAATTACTCTCCAACATTTAATTTCAATCCCCTGAGACTTTTGTTCATCTTTAGAACACAAATTAAGATGTTCATTCATTCATTCACTCATTCATTCATTCATTCATTTTCTCTTCTGCTTAATCCCTTTATTAATGAGGGGTTGCCACAGCAAAATGAACCGCCAACTTATCCAGCATATGTTTTACGCAGTGGATGCCCTTCTAGCTGCACTGGGAAACATCCATACACACTCATTCACACACATGCACTACAGACAATTTAGCCTAACCAATTCATCTGTATCACATGTCTTTGGACTGTGGGTGAAAGCAGAGCACCTAGAGGAAACCCACGCAATCATTCAAACTTCACACAGAAATGCCAACTGACCCAGCCGAGGCTCGAACCAGCGACCTTCTTGCTGTGAGGCGATTGTGCTACCCACTATGCCACCGTGATGCCCCGAATTAAGATGTTTTAGATGAAATCCTAGAGATCTCTCTCATCCCCCTGAAACATTTAAAATTCAGCAAAGCAACCAAAAACATTCCATGTTACTTCCCTGGAATCCTACAATGATCCTAATATCTCTTGTGTCATGTTAGGTTGCTTGAAATGACATGGGGGTAATAATTAATTACCAAATTTAAATTTTTGAGTGAACTAATCAATTAAGGTCAGGGGTTTAATTCCTAGGGAATGCCTCCACTACAAGTTACATGTAGGATAAAATTTGTTTTCTAAATGTATTGCAGTGTTGTATTGTTGATGGCACTGTGTAATCTGTGTTTCTGTATTGACTCTTGCAGTGTGTCGATCGCTCTGCTGTGCAGCTTCTTGTTGGGTCTTGGCGACAGCTGTTTCAACACTCAGCTCTACAGTATTCTGGGCCGGGCGTATGCTGAGCAGAGCGCACCTGCCTTTGCCATATTTAAATTCATACAGGTAAAGACTTGTTTAGATTGCATTTTGCGGAAACGTCATATGAAGATGTCACAAAGTTGTGTTAGCAGCTATGTTTACATTTAACTATTTTTTTGCACACAACAAACTAAATACACTAGGATTCACGTAAATTCTAAAAAATGTGCATAAAAACATATGGATGTAAGTAGCAAGGAATAATTAGTTAATTACGGAGTAGCTGTTACACCTCGGTGTGCATTATATTCAGACAATTTAATAGAGCAAAGTCATTCAATTTGCTTATAATAGTGAATATGAACAGTTACCACACTGACATACACTGTACATGTGTTGCATTTGTCCTCAGATAGCTACTGTTTGTAGTACTAGTTTATTACATAATCTCATCAAGAGCGTACTTATCAACATTGGGATGTGAAAATAAGGGATATGCCCACCATAATAAGGGACCCACCCCCAACCCTGACCTCCTATAAAAAAATCCCCAAATTACTAAATATGTTCATTTGGAGCTGTTACATTGTAAATAAACAGTTAAATTGTCAGTAATATGTTTTATAATTATTATTTACAAAAGAAACAAAAAACAAAAAAAAAAAAAAAAATATATATATATATATATATATATATATATATATATATATATATATATATATATATATATATAGTTCAGCTTACTTAATGAAATTATAGCTATTATAATGAAATAGAATCAATATCAGACACATTCTGATTAAAGAGCAACCAATGAATCTCTTATTTATTTAGATTTTTTCTTTTGATTACATTAAAAAACAGGTATCACTTTAAAAATGCACACATTTAACAGTGTAATGAAGGCATTTGACTGCTTTGCTAACTTTTCATGCTCATTTAAGACAAAATTAGTTGTGTTTGAAAAAACCTACGAAGATCGACATCTTTAGATGTTATTATTATTATTAATTATGTGAATGTCTGTTTAAACACTCACCCAAAAGCCAGACATTTCGCTCCGCTTCAAATCACGTGTACAGAATCTGTGTGGGAAACAGCGTTTATTTATTACTAAGGGTCGTCAGCTGACTGTCATGCACCTCTATATGAGTGTTTTGAGGAATGCAAAGGAGGGGTGACGGCACCTGTTATGAAAAGGAAAGGGAATTGTGCCGTTTTTATATTTGTTTCAAAGTGTTTTCATGCCTAAACAAAACAAAAGCACTGAACAGAATCACATTTAAGAGCAAGGGGTGCCCCCTGGTGGCTTAGCACTATGGGTTGTGTATAGGGAGGATCAGCTCTTTAATGTCTCTTGCCACCTTTTAGAGAAACACTGAAAATACATGAGAAATACAGGAAAATACCTTTACGGGATTATAGCAGAATAGAACTGTAAAATAAGGGAAAATTCCGGGAAAAACAGGAGGATTGACAGGTATGATCCAGAGGTTTCCGCTTTTGTTTTTTTATAAAATTTTAAATAATAATAAAAAAATACGTCGTAGGCTATGAAATAACTGAAATCGTTCAGCGTAATGCATTCAAAACCTGCATGTAGCTACTTAAGATGTGTGTTTTCATTCATTCATTCATTCATTCATTTTTTTTTCGGCTTAGTTCCTTTATTAATCAGGGGTCGCCACAGCGGAATGAATCGCCAACTTATCCAGTATATGTTTTACGCACTGGGAAACATCCATACATACTCATTCACACACATATGCTATGGCTAGTTTCGTTTATTCAATTCATCTATACAGCATGTCTTTGGACTTGTGGATGCTGCACACTGGTGGTGGTGCGGAGAGACCCCCCTCATGATTGTGAAGCGCTTTGGGTGTATGGCCATACACAATATAAATGCGCTATATAAATACACATTACATTGTGGTGGAACCGGAGCACCCAAAGGAAACCCACACCAACACGGGGAGAACATGCAAACTCCACACAGAAATGCCAACTGACCAGCTGGGGCTCGAACCAGCGTCCTTCTTGCTGTGAGGCAATTGTGCTACCCTCTGTGCCACCATGAGGCCGCTGTGCGTTTTATCATGGAATATTCATCAGCTTATCAAAATCAAGTATTCGACAGCCCTGTATTATAAAGTCTAAGAATTGTACACGTAGTTGTATCCACAGAATTAATTTCTCAGTGTGCATCAACTAAAGTGACTTTAGCCTTATCAGTGATTGGATAACTGGACTAACCAGCGCACCAATTACAATCACACCATCTCAAATATTGTTTTGAAGGGGATGTATTGTGCTCTTTTTCCACAATCTCATATCAATCTTGGGAAGTTGTAGATTAGTACTGCATCCACCTTTTGGAATCAACATCTCTTGACGGTCAACAGTGCACAAACATGGCAGTTTTCGCTTAGCGGCTAGTTACATGTTTCGATTTTGCTGTAAATAAAATAGAGGATCAGCATTGAAACCACAACCCTTTGACACATACAATCACAGTGGCTGGTTTCTCGAGCGAACATTCAGTGATCATCATCATTGATCAGCTGCTAAATTAGAATCTGGAAAGACAAGCATGTTTCCTGTTAAAGATCAAAACATATCAGTGTTTTCAATTAAATAATATTTTTGTGTAGGTTGCATACATTTTAATACACACAATTAATAGCAAAAACTAATAAAAATGTTGCTTTGTAAAATGCTCGCTGGTGTCTATGGACAATGACAATAATAATTATTTTTTCACACACACTGAATGTGTAATTTACAATGTGTACACTGTTTGGGTAACTAGAATATTTACTCTGTTTTTCTCCCAGTTAAACAGCCACTTACTGTACGGTTAAGGTGAAGTTGACGAATTGACGTGTTGTAAATCCAGCAGCTCTAATCTTCATTGCAGTACATGGGGCTGTGGCGTGTCATGTCATAAACCAATTGTGTCACCATGGCATATAAAAGTGATCCTAAATAACTCACTAAGGGCGGTCAGCTGAAGTATTTAAAACATAGAAGGGTTAAGTGAACCATGGCTAAACAAAATCAATTTGTGCTCATCCGAAAGAACACTTCCTTAGAATTCTTTCACGTCCAAATCTTGTGTAGCTTTATTGTTGGTGATATGTGTTTAGGTGATTTATGTAACCAAAAACAAAGACCCTTTCATGCAAATCAGTTTACTTGGTGGCCATCTTTGAAACGCCTCATGTGCTTGGTTATGTTTAAATGGGGAAACATCATATTCTCCAAAATGGTTTGGGAGTACATTTTATCTAAGAAATTACTTAAAATATTAAACAACAAATGTCTCTTTAGTTTCATTTCTAAACGTTCAAATCACACAAAATTTGCAGAAACTCGCATCTGGTCTGAAGCCCTCTCTCGAAGAATCCTCAGTCTATAGTCATTAGCCCCTTTCACACAGTGATACCGGTAAATAAATGGAAAATTTTCAGAACGACTCTACGGGTAAATTCAAAAAAGTGCTGTTCACACAGGCAAGGACGTTATGGAATTTGCCGGAAAAGAGCATTCACACATCCATTCCAAATTACCAGAAATGACCTCTAAACGGCTGTGCTTGTATTTGTAAACATTTGACTACATCACAAACTCTGTGGATGGATTAGTATTGTGAACAACTTCGATGAAAACATATAGAGAAACACTTTCGCATGTCGAGATGTACATGATATGTATGTGTGCTGGCGCTCATGGCCTGTTTCACAGGCACAAGGTAAACAAACAACGGCTTATCATAAGCATCTTATTGATAATTAATTACACAGTTGGCATTAAGATGAACAAATAAACATTATCTGACTAATTTCTAGCAGCTAAATGTGTCTGGAAAAATTTCCAAAGGCTTTTATTCTCATAAATCGCGTGGAAGTGAATGCGTCTGACTGTTCTGATTGGCTTAAGCAGACGTCTCACGTCAGCACGTTCTAGATGTGCACACGCTCTTTCCGGCAATCTTCATTCTGCGTTCACACTGCGAAGCATTCCGGCAAATTACCGGTAATGTTACAACTTCTATTTCCGGAAAATAGCCGGAATGAATTTATTGTTATTTTCAAAAAGGGCCTGTTCACACATACACACCTTCCCAGAAAATTGCCGGTAATTTTCCGGAAAAGTCTGTTTGTGTGAAAGGGGCTATTAATGACTGGCTCCTATACTAGAAGGTGGGACTTCATGACCATTACGTTTTTACCCATTTAAAACTTTACAAATGAGATGTCCTGTGTCAAAAAAACAGGGTCGAAAACAACCAAGAAATAAGATTTTGGGAAAATAAATATTCTGTGCTATATGTCTAATTCCTTTTTTGCCTTTTTGCCTTCATTAGATAGGACAGTATTTAGACAGGAAGCAAAGTTTTTAGAGAGATAGGGGGGTAGGGAAATGTCCTCAAGCCAAGATTCGATCTCGGGACGCTCTGACGTGCTACTGCACCATATGTCAACGCACTAACCACTAGGCTATTGCACCAACCTTTTTTGAATTTTAACACTCGCTTGAGCATGAGAGTCCACCTCTTGTAACAGTGTAAATAACGTTGAATGCATGAAGTAGCTTTAGACCACCCCTTTATTAATTCTGAAATGTTAGCAAAGTCCATCATCAAAATGAGTTGTGTATAGTTACCATCCAGAACTGATCACATGATCAGGTTCCTAATCATCAGACACCCCTGACCAAAATTACAAGCTCTTATTATGTCTGCACCATTATGAGGCCAAACTCGTTTATTGCAGAGGGAAAAAGCTACAGCAATCTCCCCATTTGCAGAAGCATAACTTAAGTTATTGATATATCATGCTAGTTTTCCAGGAAATTATGATTTTATTATTATATTCTAACACATTTGCCTTTTTTTTTTTTTTTGATGGCACATAAGTTAGTTAGTTAAGTTAGTTAGTTCATTTACATAGCACATTTTTTACAACACAACGTTGCCCAAAGTGCTGAACACAATCAATACTAAAATAAAGTCTACATCACATACATAACAATTAAAACATAAGGCAAACCCCTCAATATTAAAAAGGCTCAAATACTAAGGAACAAAGATGGAGTTTCAAATGCTTTTTTAAAAACAGATAGAGTTGTAGCATGTCTGATGTGGGGTGGAATCCCGTTCCAGAGTTTTGGGGCGATAACAGCAAAAGCGAGATCCCCACTTCGCTTACACCGGGACCTTGGTACAGAAAGAATAAATTCATCAGAAGACCTCAGTGAACAGACCGAGTTCCATTGAAAACATTGGCTTGAAACAGCTACCGACAGTGGTGGTAATCCTATTATGTAATCAGATTATAAAATGTAGTACTTGTTATTAAATTGTTACATTTTATAATATAATAAACATAATAAGATCACAGCTACTTGGATTCATGGATTACATGGTTACAAATGTGTTACACAATGGAAAAATTCTACTGTGTGGCATATTATTTAGCTTTGAGTAATAATACTTTATAATGGACTATTTAAAAGTTAGACACACATAAGCATGGGCCGGTATAAGATTTTGATGATATGATGACCTTGGGTAAAAATGTCACGGTTTTGTGATTACTGCTCTAAAATAGATTATTTTTAAATGGTTGAGTAAAAAACAACAATTTGTTTTCTTTGAAAACAATATATTTTATTTTTTTTAAAGATTTATAATACTTTGGAGCAGTGTCAGGCAACATGTCAGGCTAAATAATGACTATGAATCATTGACTTCTGCTGTCTTTATTAGTTTCAAAAAACACCAATTTCTTTACAATTTAAAAGGCATCTTTGGATATCTTTTCTGCTGGAGATACTGCTGTCCTAAAACAACAACAACAACAAAATTTTTAAAGGTTTAAAACCTTGACTTTTTCAAACCACGGTATACCTTTAAAACGGTTTTTGTCCCATGCCTAGAAACACACCAGTTTGTTAGAAAGTAATGGGCCATCTTGGGCCATGTACATTTTGTAAATAAATTTGAGTACACAAGCCATGGTTTATTTATTTATTTTTTTAAGATTTTTTTTTTTTATTTAACAAGGATACATTATTCGATCAAAAGTGACAGTAAGTATTTTTTTATAGTATAATATTAATTTTAAATAAACACTTTTATTTTTCTACACAAATAGAAAGCAGTACTAATGTTTTTAACACTGATGATAAAAAATAATAAAGACAAGTAAACTATTAATTTATCATATTGGAATGATTTCCGAAGGGTTGCATACACATTAAAATTCTCTTCAACTCAACTCTCATAAAAAACCTGTGGTATTTTTTTTTTGTCAAAAGACCTTGTATGTATGATGATAAACTTCATGAACCATTGTCATAATAATGTCATTCCAACGTCATACCCATGTTTTTATACAAATTCAAGTCCTCATAGTTCTCACATACTGTACACACCCACACACACACACGTGCATCTACTTATCTTTGCAGATGTGGCATCTAATCATTAGACAAAGCATAGCTGACGTTTTTACAGTATGCGGTGCTTGTATGAATGATGTACTGTATGGTTTATAATTAGATGTGGTATTCTGAAAATTTGAGAGCTGTTTTTCATGTCAGTAGAATATCTCACTAGTGGCTGAAGAGTCTGGAAACTTTTTAAGAGACATCTATCCCACAACTTTGCTAGATAACCTTTTTTTAAAAATAAATATAATAAAATTCATTGCATACAGTTCAAATTTAGGACTTTAAAGGACATTTTTAAGACCTTTATGAATGAACTCACAGCACTGGTCTTATTTGTAGATGAAATACAGTAAATTATGTTTAGAATAGCAGAAGAAAGAACTTCAAATAATCAAATCAATACAAAACATTCTATTGTAGCATTACATGGACATCGAAAATTACACTGTTAACAATTTTTTGTAGAATTAATTCACTGTCAATCAATTACAGCAAAATGCTGTATTTACATTGACAGCACTATTTATCTTGCTGTATATGTATATACGGTATTGTATATATTTATTGCAAAATTTACAGTTATTTTTACAATGCACCTTTAAAATACAGTAGCATACGGCATAACTGTCCTACAGTAAAATAAAGTTCATATTACAGTTAAATACTGTGAAATTTACAAAAATCGTTGACTGTAAGATCTGTAAAAAATATACTTTTACAACATAACATTTATACTTTTAAATTTGACCTAATTAGATTTTAGATGTGTGTGTGTGTGTGTGTGTGTGTGTGTGTGTGTGTGTGTGTGTGTATATATATATATATATATATATATATAATATTAATACATATTAGCACAATCTGTTATATATTAAATAAGCAAAATCTAATTTTGTTTAGCCATGTTTCACTTAACCCTTTTATGTTTTAAATACTTCAGCTGACCGCCCTTAGTGAGTTATTTAGAACGGATCACTTTTATATTCCATGGTGACACAATTGGTTTATGACATGACACGCCACAGCCCCATGTTCTGCAATAAAGATTATAATATATTATATATATGTTTTTTTTTTTTTTCACATTTGAAGATCCGTTTTAAAGTTTCTAAATGCAGACCGTCAAATATGCTTCACTGTGTGAGTTAAAAAGGCTTGTTCTGTCAGTCTGTTTCTGCAGCTGTGGCCTTCTTCTACAGCGGCTACGTTCTGCTGACCTGGCAGCTCCTCGTGATGGTCATCATGGGCTTCATAGGGACGCTGTGTTTCTTCATGGTGGAGAGGATGCAGAACATGTCCGCTGACGCACAGGAATATTAAACTGAGGTCTTGCTCAGGACACACATTTCAGTAAGCGGTGACACTTGCACTATTTGTATGTTGTAATTAAGATGAAATTGTTAGGATAAAACACTAGTGATTCATGAGGTGCCTTTTTTGAAATCTGGACTTTAAAATACAGGATTTCTGGGGGTTTTCTCTATTTACATGCTTTGATAGATTATTGATAATTGGGAATGCATTGTGGTGATATTGTGTTGACAAATATACTATAGAGGTGCATGATATTTATCATACAGTATGTGATAATATCATAATTGGGGTTTTAGCAATTTGCTAGCTGACATTATTGGGAATTTCATACTATTTGCAAAACAAACAAGAACACATCTTGAGAGTTAGAAATCTTAGGAAACTTGAAATGATAGTTAACGACCCTATAATTTAATATATGAAAGCAAAAAAAGTTGTTCTTTTTCTCATTTTGTTTAATAAGTAAAGGCTGATTTATACTTCTGCATCAAGCCGCGGTCGCATAGCCTTCACCGTGGCTGACGCCGATGTTGACTCTCACCTCTCAAAAAATGTAACTACAACATTGCAACGACGTATAGCACAAGCTCTGGCAGTTTCTCAATTCCAAGAACGCAGAGAACGGACTTGCAGTCTTGTGGAGAGCGGTCTTGCCAAGTGTCCTCGAAAGAACGAACTCGGGAGACCGCGAGGGCAGAGAACCCGTCCCCTGACATGACCTTCACACCCTTTTAATGGAAAATTATTTAAACATTACAGCATTCATACAACAATTTATTGTTTTTCCCCTTTTCAATATATATACTATGCATAAAAACATTATAAATAGACGTTGCACAATATAAATAAAACAGATTTTAATACGAATTTCAGCAAACAAACACCCTGAATGTGTTTATTCCTTTATTAAGATGTCCATGGTTATGTTTATATTCACTGTTTCATTTAGGGAAACTCCTGAGGTAAATAAGTGATATCTCTGAACTTTAATAATAAATCTAAATAAAATGCTGCGCTTCCCACCTCCAGTCGCAATGACTTCTGGGACTTCTAGCGCGAGTTTGGTGCTCAAGTCTGCATCTGTGCGTCCTCGATATCAAGATCACAACCGGGAAGTTTCACGCATCCTCTGTTATTGCGGCCTTGAGTACTGAACTTTGGCAGTTGATAATGATGTTACACGAGAACGCAAGACCGCTGAAGAATGCATATTGAGAAACAGCCTTTGACTGGTCGGCTTAGTAGCTGTGACAAGTGTGAGTGGGACCGAGAGCCTGTTGGAGTGAGTATTTACAAGTGTCGAGTCCCGTGAAGTAGCTCTAGATGGAAACTGTTGTTTTGCGTTTATCTTATGATTAATGTTGTTGCACGACCGCCAGTTCCCGCTGTAGCTAAACATAGTTTTAGCTATGTGTTCATTCAGAAAAAAAAAAAAACACACACGTGAAAAAACGTACTGCCAGCTAGCGTTTCGGAAGTGTTATTGCAAAGCAAAACACAAACAGCACACAGAAGTATGAATGCATGACTACGCGCAAGACATGCGTCGTGGGTCACATCAATCACTCTATGCAGAAGTATAAATAGTAACACTTTATAATAACCACACAATATGAATCGTCTATTGAGCATTAGCAAATAGTTAATTCCTCGTCTGTTAAGCATTAACTTTACATTAATAAGCGTTAGCAAGCAGCTTATGAATACAGCTACAAACGCTGTATTTATTTATTTGTATTTATTTATTTATTTTGACTTGTAAGCACATTTATAATGTGCTTAATAATTGTATTTTAGAATCATTCAGAATGAGTTAAAAATGATTAATAAACTATTCAAATCAACTTTTATATATTTTTATTATTCAGGCATATACTACTATGTATGCTCATGAATGCTTTATTAACTCAACTTCATCCAGTTTCGTGACCTAATCTAAAGTGAGGACTAATTATGCTTCGTAAATCCCTTATGAATGATAATTAAAGGTTCAGTATCAAATGAATGTATCAAATGTTTGCAATCTTATCTAAAAATACAATTACTGTAAACTTTAAACATTGTGAAATTACAGGAGTGTCTAAACACAATTAGAAATAAATACAATCAAATAAAATTGGATAAAACAGCAATGTATTAATTTAACAATATATTATGATGTAACATTTTAATGTTATTAAGCGATGTTTAAACTGTACAGTAACTTTTTATTTTAGTTAAGATTGCAAAGATGTATTTTTCATTTGATGCAGTTTCATTAGCATATCTTCAAATGAATAGAAATTAATAAAGTATTTTTTTTCTTTTATTTCTGTTTAGAATGTAACCGAGCCTTTATTTGTCATTTATAAGGCATTTATAAAGCATAAATAGTCCTCACTTTAGATTAGGTCACAAAACTGGATGAAGTTGAGTTAATGAAGCATTTATTAACATGCAAATTAACTATTAGTATTTGCCTTAAAAATAAGATATATAAACGTTGATTTAAATAGTTTATTAATCATTTACTTAAGCATTTTCAATTATCTTAATAAAACACCTATTCTTAAAAATAAATAAAACTATTCTTAAACAATTACACTATTTTGTAAATAATGCAATACATATTAAAGTAACGAAAAATTAATCATTAAAGTATGAATATACAATCATTAAGCACATTATAAATCTGCTTATGACAAAAATACAGCAAAATATATGTTAGTAGCTGTGATTATAAACAGCTTACTAACGACTATTAATGTAGAAATGAATACTTAACAGATAATGAATTAACTATTTGCTAGAGCTTAATAAATGATTCGTGGTGTGTAGTTATTATAAAGTGTTCCCGTATAAATCAGCTTTTAGTCCACACAAGCATGACTAATTATTTACTGAATATCAGTGTACGGCCATAATTGCAAATGTGATATTTATTTAAAGGCACAGTATGTAATTTTCACCACTAGATGGCGCGTATTCATAACAAACAATTTCATAGTTTAATGAAGCCGTGACTGATTGTGGAATCAGTTGGGAGTTGTCATCTTCCATGAGCATGATTTCTGTAGAAGTATAATAGGATGTAACTGGAAATCAAGAGTGTATGACATTATTAGCATGGTGACACATAGCATGGTCACTAGTTTAAATTGCTCATTTCTCTGGATATAGACTTTAAAACATTTGGTATGATGGACATACATCATCAAAATATATAATGCTGTTCTAGTGGTTTCTAAATATTATCATAAAACAAATGTTACATATTGTGCCTTTAATACAATAATGAGCAAAGTACATATGTCTAATATTGTATGTTTGTTCACCAACAAAAATTGATAATCTCAAAGCAACATTGCGGTATTTTGTTCCTGAATCAATCTGGTTCTGAATGAATTATTCCCAAAACTAAGTTTTCTATATGGATATCCGTTATTTTGGACAAATCTGACTGAAAGTTTTAAAACAGGGACTTTGCGTTTGTATATATATATATATATATATATATATATATATATATATATATATATCAGGGTTTTTACTGTATAAAGAAATTTGAGGCAGCCACCTCAATCAAATGTTGCAAAATCAGGCAGGCAGTCACAGCTATTGACAAACCCCAGTTGATTCTCAAGCACTGGTCATCGTGTATTTAATTGCATTTAATGTTAGTCTTTTTAAATAAAATGTTTTACTTGGTAAGATTATAAGAATAATCCAAAACGTGTTTGTTTCACCTCTGCTTCATATTGAATTATAGTTTTATTGGGTTTTGTTGATGTTTTAACTGACACTGAATTCATCTTTTGTGTTATACTGACACCTAAAGGTGTAACCGCAGCATCATATCAAAGCAAGAGGCCTTTGACTCACTGATTCTGATGTGGAAATTCCCCTGACTTGTATTTCATGATTGAAAATGTCAGATAAGAGCTGCTTTTCCTACATTAAAATAAAAATTGTTTTGTTTTGCGTTTTGTTTTTACCGAGAGTGTGGGTGTATATACTGCTATTGAAAACCACTTGTAAATACACTTGTTATTCAGGTCTCAAAACCATGGTTATGATTATTAAATATTTATTCCTTTACTTTTTCTAAAGGTAAATGGATAGTTCTGCCAAAACTGAAAATGCTACGATCATTTACTCACCCTTTACCTGTTCAAAACCTGTATGAGTTTCCTTTTTCTGTTGAACATGAATTAAGATGTTTTGAAGACTGCTAGTAGCTGGCCCCCAGCAAAACAAGTGAAAACTTCCATAGTTAATTAGTATTTTTTCTCTACTATTCACCTTATTCTTTGTCGACGAGCGGGCACAGCCATTTGAATCTTTTTGGCTCAAGACTTCCGGTCTCATTCACTTCCATTCATTTTTAGACATTAAAAATTGCTCGTTTCGCTGTTTGATGTTGCAGACTGACATTTCCTTATTATATTATTCTACGTGGTCTATATAGTCAAGCAAACACTTGTTTGTAGAGCAAGTAGTTTGACCGTTTTTTGCAGTTTATTATTCCTAGACATTTCTCCCATAGGCGACTAAATCAGAAGTTCTAAAACAATCCGAAAAACAGGCGCACTTCCGCATTTTAGAATAAGGTCAATAGAAATCAAACCAAACAGCTAATATCTTTCCTCGTATTCAAACTGTAAAAGGACATGTGGAAAAAAATGTTTTTCATTTTTGAGTGAACTATCCTTTTTAAACATTTGTATGTAAGCATGTCTGAAAGCATGCCACCCTGTTTGTTATTTAATGCAGAAAAAGTGCTCAATAGTATATTTAATCTTTAATTTGGAAGCAAATAGTTTAAAGAACAAAGCAAAACTTACAGTTTGCTCAGAAACACAAAATTATAAATTCAGAGAAACAGAGTTTTCTAGTGGTCTCTTGATTTGCTTCTGTAAATCTGTATATACACATGCACACACTTGTTTTGCTGGTTTATGAGGACTCTCCATTGGCGTAATATATTTTATACTCTTATAAAATGTCTCTCTAAGTTAATGAAAAAGCATGTCTCAGGGTCCTGCAGTTTAATTCTTTTTTTTTTAGGATCTGTAACTCTAAAATGCATATCAGTCCACTTTCAGATTTGATGTTTTAAATGCCTTCATTGTTATTATTATTATTATTATAGTTTGTTTGGTGCTATTTTTGTGTGGTTACATTGTGAAATTGTGCAGTTGTAAAATCAGGTAATCTTTTTCAGTGTTGGCGAAGGTGTGATCACATTTAGCATGAAAACTCAGTCACAGAACAGGCACAACTGGTTTAAACAAGAATGTTTAGATGAAGGTCTGCTTGATTATACACACATGTCCAAAGTGCTGTTTGTTAAAAACCAGTGTTGTGTTTCTGAAGCAACAGAGCTCTTCAGGCATATTTATTCCCTGGCTCCTTTAATATTTCACGTTCTGTAATAATAATAAAGATGACTGAAGAAAGTTTTACACTACATGTTTCATTATCAAGTGTGTTGAGCATTACACAAATCCGTTTCATGGTATGAAAGCTGCAGAAAGCTGTTGTAATTGTTTGTCTGTCTTTTGTTCAGCATTGGCCGTGCGTTATCTTTACAGGTGTAATGTAGATCAGAATGTATTTAATGTGTATTTATTGTGTCAGAAAGCTTTCAGAAGGTGGCATCTTTTGATGTTTGGATGAGATCATGCCTTTCTACATTCGTAGTATGTAGCCAATAAGAAATGTACTTTTATTAGTCAGCAGCCATGCAATAATATGTGTCATATTTTAAATATTTGTGCTTAAAAATAATTTTTTATACTTGTTAATTGACAATCAACATGAAACATTTTAAGCTTTTGGGTTTTATGTGATATTTTTTAATGCA